AAATAAAATTGAATGCATCTCTCTTCATGCATTCTAGGTTCACCACCCCCAACCTCTATAGCCATAAAGTTATATGCATCCGTTGCTCCGATCTCTGATCCTGTCATTTATCTCAGCACATCTGTATTTAACTCGCTTATTTTTCTGCTGGAACACAAAATATGCTTATCACCGCTTTCGGTCTTAGGGTAGTTATGATTTTCAATTAATTTTTTCACTGTCCAAATCCCTTCAACATCAACGACATATCTAACCATGGCTCGACACCCGGTCATCGTGTCTGCTTTTTTGAACTTCACCGTATTTAATTTTGACTCATTGTAGCCAATATTTTCATAAATAAAATCTTTGGTTTTAATCTTCTTAGAGTTTGGCCAATAATTGTTATGGTCCTTCCTATTAGTAAATCTTACATGATGTGCAAAAACACAATAGCTTTCATATGCTTCTTGATCATTGTAGACAGCAGTGCGAAGAAATATCTCTGCGATTGGATCGTTGCACATATTTCTAGACTGCACATTAGCACACCAATTTAATGATGGTCAAATATAAATCAATCACCACAATACCACCATATAAAACTACACTAACAACACAATAACACATTGATCACACTACATTAATATCACCATAAGACCATCATAAAAACACTAATAGCACCGCAATTATAAGGCACTCATACCAACACAACAATAACACCACAATAATATCACAATAACACAACAATAACATCATAATAATATCACAATAACCCATCAATAATACAACAATAATTCAACAATAACACTACTAGAATAATACAATCCCTAAACCTTAAACCATAACACTACAATCCCATTTTCTCAAATTCAACTCGCCAACCAACAAAGTCCAATGTTGGTTGTTAATTATAGGAAGTAATATGATTTCATCATCCTTAACAGTTTCCTTTGTGATATGTTCCAAGAAAGCTACGCTATTAAATTTCATATGCATTTGCATAAAATGATACTTTGAATTAAGTGTATAATAAGTATGAGTAAAATTTATATGGATAAATTAAACTTATGTGATTACCCAATATTGCGGCGTTACATAGATGTATGGTCTGCATAATTCAGGTGACCCGATTCTTCTTTCATGCAATATGTTAGTAAAAACATCGACATGTTTGTTTGCAAACTACCTGTTTAGCAATGCATCCTCCAGGCGTGCTCGGTCTATTACAATCTCAAAGCCTTTGTTTATGATAAAATCATGTCCGCTCCTTTGTTTATGATAAAATCATGTCCGCATCGTTAAGAAAGAAAACTTGTCACAATAGAATATAAAACCACTGTATAACATTAAAACTGTTGTCAACAGTTACTCCCTAGTATATGTGACAATATTGTCATAAATTACATCATGCATCTCACGTGGTATTAACTATCTACCAGGATATTCAATGAAAGACGCCGCAGGCCGAGGTTGCAGAAGAAAACAATAATTATAAAATACAACATGAAAATTATGGATGTGTTTCACTATAAAGAGCTAATTTTTTGTACCACTATCGCATAGGTGTCTGCATGGGAGCTGTCGCTCTGGCTAGTGATGGCTATAGGGCTTTCTAATTCCGGGTTGACTATAGGGCTTCTTAAACCAGAGAGTGTCATTGCAATCTGTTCACGAGTATAATGTCTGTTTAGCTCGATTTCATCTGGAGTTTTCTCTAAGTCAAAGAATGTACAGCTGGCACCATTATTGGTTGATTTTTAATCAATGTTATTTCTAAATTTATTTCTGCTTGTTGGCCCTCTACTGCTTCAGTATCTACAACAGATGCAGGAAGACGATTCTACAAAAGAACAAAAATTATTAAACATATTAGCAGATTAAATAATAGGGTGCAATATAGAATGAACTTTTTACCGTGAGGGGCATAAGATCAAGAACATCATGTACTGGTCGTTCGACTTGATCGGGATCTTCTTGTATTGTCTCGTCCCCACTTATCGTATGGGGTAGAGACTCAAGAAGATCCTTTATCGCTCGCTCAACTTCAGCGGACTCTTCTTGTATTGTGTCATCCCGATTAATATCATCTTCTGCTTCTCTTATTGTCTCTTGACCCTTTTGGGCTTCAAACTCTTCTGCATGCTAGGCATGTACAGGTAAATTCTCATAATTTCCCTCCTCAACTTGTCCAGGATGTTTCTCAACAACATCATTAACTCTCTTTGTTGTCTTTGACAAATCTTGTCTTTCAGAGAAATTCAAATTTCTCTTCTATCATCGCTGGACTTACTCTTTTGGAGAGTTGATTGCTCTGTTCTCAGATTATTTTTCTGAACCTTTTTATCAATTTTTGTTTCTTCTAATATCTTAATCATAGTTGTTATGGTGGACAATGAGTCTTCAACATTAAACATTTGTTTATTCATGATAATCATTGATTCCTGTCTACTTATACTTATTTGTTCATGAGCTTTAAGCAGCTCGATTATTACTTCAAATTTATTTATTCCCCTTGTATATGTTGCTCCTGGGGTTACAATCACTTGAAACAATTGGATCCACGTCATGTGATTTGGTTGACGGTGGTCCGACCAGAGTTCACGACGTGGGAGAGGCCTAGAAGGGCTGGGAGGTCCCTGGTCTGGATTGGATAGTAACTGGAGCTCATCTTCATTCAAGTCTACAAATGCGTCATTAACCTACAATGAAAATCGTAATGTCTAAAGTAAATTCAGTAAAACAACTTTGAGAAAAATCAAACATAAATTTTTTTAACTTAATAAATGACTTATCTGTACATGCTCAAGCCTCTTAAAGACTTTATGAATCTGTGGTGTGGTTCACCCATGACTTGTTGGCCACCTCAGTATGCTAGGTCTAGCCTCGGAGTGCGACTGGAGTAAAGAGATGTGTTTAAAAAACTAAAGTTGCGGATTAGACATATAACAGATAAAATTTTCAGAAGACAAATAAAAAAAAAAACAAATTCAAAACAAGAATTTTTTAATGTTGGTAATATTAACTTACAGTTAAAAGAAAAACAAATTTGTTGATATACACAAATGACAGAATTTGCCTTATTTTGATCGCGTTCAATTGATCTATCATAAAATCACAAATGACAACAAGCTAGGTAAAAGTGGAGGAGGACTGTACGTTCTCCCCAAACGAATAAAGCCTTGCGGAACACTAAAATTTTTTGAGGGAAAAATTAAATTTGTAAGTAAAAACTTGAGCAATTATTGCTCAAAAGGAGTGGAAGACTCCTGAAAACGTTGTCAAGTTCTTTTTTATTGCTTTCGCATCTACACGAGACGATAGAGTTTTCCTCTAGCTAACTGTTTCTCCTCCGTTGAGCATGCCTAACAACAGTGCAACATGGTCAGGGTCGAGTTTAATCACTTTCTCATCTATTGCAAATGCTCTCTTTTCATGATTCTAAAATCCTGAGATATGTAGGGTTATTACATTATCTTGGGTATAAGGAGACATCAAAAAACTGAATGACATTTATTTTTCTTAACTAGTACATAGTCTCCTCGGAGGCTAGACCATATATGTTTGTTATGTTTGTGTTATAGTTGTGTTATAGATGTTATGTTTGTATTAATGGTGTATTTTTATTATGTTATTACTGTGTTATTGTTGTGTTATTGATGTGTTATAGTTGTTTATTATCGTGTTATAGTTGTGTTATCGAAGTTTTATGGTTGTGTTATTGATGTGTTATGGTTGTATTATTGCATGTTATAGATGTGTGATTGATGCTATTGCGGTGTTAGTAGGGTAATAACACAAGTAACACTGCAATAACACACAATAACATAACAATACACAACCATAAAACTTCGGTAACACAATTATAACACAACATAACACAATAATACATCTATAACACAACTATAACAACATAATACAATAATAGCACAATCAAAACACAACAATAACATAACCATAACACAATGAAACAAATCATATTTGTATATATAATAAACAATGTAACATAATACCTTAAAGATTTTGATAGACCGCTATCTTCTTCAGTTCTCTTGCGACCTTCTATTGTTATGTGCTAGCAAGAGGAAATGAAAACCAACGTTTTGAATCCCGGGGTTGTCGAACGATGCAATGTTCTAACTTATAATCACTAGGTCTTGCACCGAAGAGGATGCAAAACCGTCCAGGAAACCCTAGCTATTTCTGCTGAAGAGAAAGGGAAACCGCTGAAGACGAAACAACGAAGAACGCTCGAAACCACTGAAAACCGGAAACCGATTAAAACCATAATTTCAAAATGTCATAAAGGTGTTTTTGGTCTGGATCGCCGTTTTGGTGGGCTCGATTCGGGCCGGGTTTGTGCGACAAAACACATTTTTCAAATTTTGTCTGCGTTGGGGCTATTGATTCTGGCTGAGTCACGTTTAATAAGCGTTTTTCTAATTTTTTGGGCAGTGGGACCCACCTGCTCTGTTTGCTTCTTCTCATTAGACTCCGCATGCAGCTCTTCGTGCGAAGTCCAGAGGTAATATTTTTTCCTCGATTTGCCAATCTTCGGGGCAAACTTGCGCTCTTTTCCACATCATAAGTTTAAGGGGAGCTGTTAAGCTCAAGTTTAAGCACGACAACAATAGAAGATATCCACCGTCCCTTGATAACTAACTCTGCAGCACAGCCAATCCTTCCTGACAAACTCTGCTTACAGCAGATTCTGCCCCTCTTTTGATGTATATATACATGTTTTACTGTACGGTTCACATATATACCTTTTACTAATTTGATTACAGCACATATTCTCTTCTGTCTTCTTCTTGTATAGCACGAGCTACATCTAACTAACACTCCAAGCAAGGAGGGCAAAAAAAAAATCAAACAAAGTATAATAATTTTCTCCATTTAACGTGAAGTGCAATTTCTTTCTTTAGAAACCTGTGCTTTTTATCTAATGCTTTCCAGAAACTAGGAGCCTGTAGAATATAGCACTTCATGATCAGAGTGATGCATTGGCCTCGTCTTTGCAGTTAAATTTCTTGATTGTGGAGGATCGTCGGAGAGAGATGATAGACCCGCAGTGCGAGGGAGTACAGCTTGAAAGTCTGGATGCATTGCTCTTAGTTGCAATTAGATGCGTGTCTTCCAGTCCTGATGATCGGCCAACCATGCATAGGGTGGTGCAGATACTGGAATCAGAAGTCATGACTCCATGTCCAAGTGATTTCTATGACTCCAGCTCAGATTGAAGCGGGAAAATGAATTCTTCTCCTACACATAATAGCTGAGGCTTCATTGATTCTCTTTATTTGTATTTTGTTTCTTTTCAGCCTGCATATTTTTGCATCTTCATGGTTAACAATAGCCTCGTTTCTGTCATTTAGTTCTATTATTCTTCATGGAATGTCTCAGGATTATTTATGCAGACATTTTCTAGGTAAGACTGCTAGTACATTTTGGGATCTGCTTTCCAAAAGTGTTTCGCTTTGAAATTAGTGCACATATGTATACTTTTTGAAACTTGACTCCATATGCTGAAGGGAAATAAAATTTCTGCGATTGGTGTGGAATTGTCCTCAACTTTGACATCCTTAAATTGGATCATTTGAATGTTGGATCAGTTGATTGCCTGCATTAAGCTTGGAGTGAAACTAAGCCAAGTTAAATGAGTCAAGTTTTACTTGAATAAAGTTACTGTTTCAAAGCAAATTAAAATCTGCACATGTTAAAAGAAATTTGATTTAGTCATATTGAATTAGTTCTTATAATTCTGTTCAGCCAGTGTGATTATATGCCCGGATTTTTTTTTATTTTCAATGTTGTAAGAAAAAAAAAAAACTATTTAGTTATTCAAATAATTATCTTTCAAGTTTTAGTTTTTGTTTTTAATTTTGTTTTTTTAAATACATAGCATTATTTAATTTTAATTTAATTTTAAATTTAGTGAACTTGTCGGTACTGTGTTATTGATCCGTTGAAGTTAAATTATATATTGACTGGCTAATTACTTCATGTTTCTTGAAAGAGTATTGTTTAACATCACAGAATGCCCACGTATATGATTAAAATTTTAAAATTATATATAATAAAATAAAAATCTAATACATTTGATATGATGGAAAAGTAAATAATATAATATGCGGTATCTTACTGATATTAAGTTGCTATATGGGTAATATGACTATGGGTCTGTTTGGGGCAGCTTGTGCCTTTCAGGATAAGCTGTTTATTCTGAAATGCGGCCCGCGGGTCAACTGCAGAGGTCGATTCGTGGCCTGCGTTTAGTGTAAAAACCCAAACGCAGTTTCAGATAAGCTGGTGAAACGTGCGAACCAAACAGTACTTATAAGCTGCTCCAAACGGACCCTAATAAATGACGTGTAGTGATATGGGGTGCGTTATCTATTTTGTGAGCGAAACTTATTTACTTGAATTCTCAACCGCCTTCTCCACTTTCGCTATCATTGATTGTTGGAAGGATCAAAACTAGATGCATTCTAAAATGTTTTTGAAGTGAAATATGCAAGGTGTAAAGGCCGATTAAATTGGGTTGGCTCCTCAAACCCTTTCCATTATAAATTTTAAGGGCCATAACTGATAAGTTGTTGTGGGGAAAAGGAAAAGTGGGTTTGGGTAGTGGTTTATGTGCATACTTCTAAATTAGTGTAATTAGAAGACACTTGATCTAAATGTGTTGGCGAAGGAGACCTTACATTTGTGACCTCATCCCCATGTGATATATTCGAGAAGTTACCTACCGATGCATTCGATCTCCTCTAGCATGTTGATTGTTGTTGTTTGGTACCTTAATGATTACCAAAGAATGACTATAATAGATGTTTAATCTTCATGATGAATTCCCATTACAGGATTATTGTAGGCACTATAGTTTAATAATTCAATAAAAGAAGAATGAGATGCGACATATCATGGCCCATTAAATGGAGTAAATATTGCATTCGTTATCTGCACGTGTGGACGACCAACTGCCGGGCGACAATGCAGTGTACACACTGAGGTGGCGCCCGACCATGCCGAGTTGTCGCCCGGCTGTTGGTCGTCCGCATGTGCAGACGATCAGACACAATATTTTCTCCATTTAATGAGGAGAACTTGGTTAAAACATCTTTAGGGTCTTCATGGGTGCTCTGAGTAGATAGAATGTGGGACACGATTAATATCTCCATATTATTTGCACAACTATCTTTCAAGATTAATACTAGTTTCATCCTAGTCAATAAATGTCAATATCAATATATTATTGGCAGTGTTCTATCAAGTATACACCACCTTTTTTCCATTCATCAATACACTAAAAACTTACTTTCATCGTCTTTATATCAACTATTAGCATTCACATGACCTTTTGTGCTATGCATTAAAGTAGGTGCCACTTTATATGATGGTAGCATATGAGTGATGCCTAAGTTTCCCAAATATCAACCCCCACCCTAAATATTGGTTTACAACTCTTAACCATAGATGATATCCATATAGCTCAAAATAAATTAAAATAATAACCAATTAAAATTAAGAAAAGAAACTCATACATGATTTAGGAACTGAACAATAATTATCGGGCTCTATTGAAGCCTATCAAACTCATCCCTCTCATCATTATAAACTTGAATATGGCCAGCCAACTGCTTACATTTGTAGGGCTCATTCCTCTTGCACAACATTATAAGTGTCAAATTTTTTTTGGTGTAACAATAGTACTCAAGGCAAACGCACATGAGCATTACTAAACACATCTCTTTCTCTTCCGAACAATATCAATTAAATAAGATACTCATAATGTGAGTCCTTCATAAGAAAATTACTCCCGATATAACACCTATACTAAATATAGACATATGGTCTATTAAATCGCTTAGGCTTAGTTGCCTCCTTTAAATATTTATGCAAGCTACATAGTATTGTCCTTCCAATTGAATACTATTAAAGATATTTGATGCCTTCGTGATCATTTTTCTAAATCTATATCCACTATCATGTGATAAATTCCATTTAATGATACCTCTCATCATTTGCTAATGATAAATTCTTATTTAAAATTTTTAATGTTCATTAAATGTTGGTTGAACATGTATACATACTCTTCTTCTTTCATAGTTTTTCTTATATCATTCACGCACATACCCTAAAGTGCTTGCTTGAACTTCTCCCTTAGATGGCTCAGGAGTTGTCTATATGAAATTTATGGGAAAATTTTTTTATAAACATGCATGATTTTAAGGAATGATTAGGGTCATGCTAGATATAAATATACTATAGGCAACACGAGTCTTTTTTGGAGTTCCTTGGTTTAAGATTTAGTACAAAATTTTGATAAAAATATTACCAATAATGATAGATAGGTTTATTTTTTGTAGTTGTTGAGTAAGCTTGGTGAATTCATGACTAAGTAACCTTTTTGCATTGCCTCTTAAACAGAGGATCCTACGGTTGAGCTATTATTTAAGCTAGGTTAGGACTTTGGCATATCAATTCAAACATTTTTAGCAATGACCTATTTGGGAGCATGGTTAAACTTTAGTTAATGAGAAAGGGGGAGGAGATGCTAGCCAAGAAGATAAATAATTGAATCAGTGTTCATTAGGATCTATTGTGCTAGGCCCAAGCTAATTAACCTTTATAAATGTGAGGATGGAGATGGCACGAGGGGAAATTTTTAGGAGGCTAAGTGCCATCAAAATATTTGAATAAGGTTGTCAGTAACTTGAAGAACGAGTTTAAAAAGAAAAGGACATAATTTATCCTTTTGTTACAGAGCTTTGGAGACACGCAGTTCAAATCAATTGTAGGCTAGTGGTAGGTTCATTTTGGAGCACCAAATGAGGAGAAAATTCCTCTCTACTTATATCATTGTTAAACTAATTTTCTACTAATATTTTGTTCTATAGTGGTTTGAAGTGAGGGGCCAAGTCAACAATAAACTTGAGACTTTATACTATTACTTTGAACATGAAATATATTCATACTTATTGAATTGTACACAAAATTAATTTGTTATTAATTTTATTTTTTCTATATAATTGATTTTTTATTTTAGCGTGCTTGTGTCTTCAATATGCATTTATTATGTTAATTTAGTTGAACACTATGTTTCTACTCATTAGTTTTTCTTCTTTCTTACTTTACTAGGATGAAGCTTTCATGATGATCTATTAGGTTTTTTCATGCTAGTTTCTTCTATTAAACATTATTGGTATTAGTTGAATATGGGTTATGAACTAGTAATTCTAATAGCTATTTTGGATGAAGCAAGGTAATAAATTTATTAGTCACTATTTAATATGAGAAATTTATTATTCACTATGGACTTTTGTGAGAAACTTAAAGGAGGACTAAAAAGAAAAAAATAATAACATGCTAAAAATATATATTTATTCTAAATAACATTATAATATAGGCAAAATTGCATAAACATGGCTCTACATGTGATCTCTTATTTGTGAGGATTGGTATTTGAATGTTAAAAATATGTCTATATATATAATTAGTTATATGAAAAAAAAGTATGAAGTAAAAAAAAATTCATATAGCCTAAGTGATGACCTAAACTCATACTAATAGCCTCTATTTAGCTTCAAAAAGTTGTAGTTTCATATAGTTGAGGTGACCAAATAGTTTTTTGGGCTTGTGTGGTTCTTTGAGTTGAGTTGGTTCAAATAGTCCAATATTAGCATTAGGTGAGTTATTAATGCACTTGGTGGATGAAATTAACTTTAGTCCATTTTTTAGGTTCACCTAAATCTTATTGGATTAGACTTCTATGAATTCATTTGGAGAGTTAGTAATCAATAAATTCATCAAGGGCAAGATTTGTGAGCCTATTTTGAACCCAACTTGAGAAGTCCTATATAATTTCCTTGGATGAGTTTTGAATATAGGTGTCTATTTAGTTTTACCTCTTAAGTTTTTGAAAGGTAGCTATAATGAAAAAATAAATGATGATAGAAAAAATAATTCTTACCACAAAAATAAATTAATTACTTAGTATATTTCCTTAAATAAACTCTCTACATACAAAAATTATTACTTTTTTTCTTCAATAAAAAGTGGGTTGCTGTAATATTTAAAGTGTAATATTCATGGAAAAAATTAGTTAACATAAAAAATTTGTATTTTTTTAACCATTTTGTCATATTTATTTATGTTGGGGTACTTAAGTATTTTATAAATGACTTATTTCTCTTAGTAGTAAAAGGATTAAAAAAACTTGAAATATTCCTCATGTCATTAATTTAGCTTTGCAATTTTTTTAGAAAAAGATATTATTTCAGGTAAGATTAAAGTTTTAGTGGATAAATGATGACAATATTTATCCAGAGAAATAAAGAAAAATATTTAAGAGAAGGACTAGTATATGCTTGGAGTTCATCAAGGTGATTAAAAAACTCTAGCTCTAATAACAAAACTAGATGTGATTTTTCTTGTTAAATCCCCTCATGTGTTATTGAAATTAAGATAATCGAAGAAGGCTATATAGTGTGTGTGTGTGTGTGATTATGAAGCTTATATATGATTTTTTTTGCATTACTTAGAAAATCTTTTTTTTTTATTGAAG